ACACAAAAATCAACACCAACAAGTCCCAGAGTTTAAAACTCAAACCAATCATCACAATTCAGAAAGTTCCAGTGTTCACTGCCGAGTGGTGGGCAAACAGAATCACACACAAACCGACAAACACAGTAATGAATCATTATTAACATCCTCACAGTCTTATTTGTGATATTTTTTGTTCTTAACACAATTAATTAAGAGACAATTGAAGGATTTATGACTACCCTACCAAATTAAGAACCTAGATCCATAAAAAAAAAAAAATATTAATTAATAGGGAGTGGAGAAGATGCAGAGATCTGTAGCAAATAGAAGGTTACGTTGCGAATTAGAGGATTAAAAAGCAGAGAGAGAGTGGAGAGTAATTGGTAATTAATAAAAAAAAGAAAAAGGGGAAAAAAGAAAGCGAGTGATATTTACAAATGTAGAAAGAGCGTAGAAGAAAAGATAACCTTTATTTGGAAAAGAGAAGCTTATTATGAGTGTGGCGGTGGCGAAGAATCGGATTTCATAGGCAAATAGCGAAGGCGAGAGAAGTGAGAAGGGTGAATAGTTTGGAGCAGAGAGAGAGAATTTAAGGAAGAGGAATGCAATTGCAGAGTGCCTAGGTTTTTTCAGCGATCGAGATTCCTAAGGTTGTCGCTTCGGAACTGCATCTCACACACCCGCCTTTTGCTCCACTACTCGCACCTCGCACCTCGCACCTCGCACCTAGCACTTCCTCCTCATATTTCCTTTCTCTTTCTTTTCTTCTTTCTTCCTTCCTCTTTTTCCATTAAATCCTTTTACTCTTTTTTCGCTACCATTTTTTTTATTTATATTTTTAAATCATATATTTCTTTTTTCCTGTTCCCCCCTACTTTATTTTTATTTTTTCATTATCTTAAAATGTCCTACTTATTATTCAATTTTAATCTTTCTGTTTTTACGTTTATAGTTTTTGTGATAATTACTTTGGAATTATTTAAAAATGACGTTTTAATTGGGTAAGGACATCATGATTAAACTCGTAAAACAAAATCATTAAAGATTAACCCGGGTATTACAGGAAACGTAGCGTGGATATAACGTTAGCATGACCGCGTTAACTTTACAAGTGCCTCAAAAGTGTTTTCATGTTTTCCAAAGTATTTTAATGAATAATGATAGTTTTACAGTTTTCCCCCCTCTAAACTAAATTCTTTTGGAATTACAACTATTTATAGTCCTATGATTTTATTTCATTGTTTACGAATAAAGTTAGTTTCTTGTATGATGGTAAAACTTGGCCTCATAAAAAATAAGCCGGTTAAATTAATTTCATCAAATAAATAAAAATTAGTTTATTTATTTTGAATATCTCTTTTAATATATTTTTTAAAATATTTAAAAGATTTACATAAATTAATCTAATTAAATAATAAAATACATCTCAAGTTACAATATATTTGATTTAATTTCTTACTTAACAAATCTCAAATTTACTACATAATAAAATATATATGTAATCTACAAGATATATTAATGTGATAGTTTAATTTGATATATATATATATATAAATAATTTTATCATTAAATAATAAAAATAATATTAAAAAGGTAATTACTTTTATAAATACAAAACTCAAACTCAAAATTTTGATTCTTGAAAATCAAGAATAACATCATTTGATCTAACGAATATTAATAATTCTTAAATATTTTTATTAAATATAAAGAGATAAAATATCTCATTTTCAGTGGTTATAATAATAATAATTCTTCCAACAAACACAAAAGAGTATAAAATTAGATAATAAAATAAAATTAAATACATAACATATTTATTGTATAATAAATTGCAAATTACTTACATAATAAATTTAATATAACTTATTTAAATTTAACATAAAAAATAAGATGATTATTATAATAATAATAATAATAATGAAAAAAAAATTAAATAGGTTAACAAAGTAATTTGCTCCAACTCATTATTTGACTTCACAAACTAGATTAAATTAATCAAAATATCTAACTCGACCAATCAATTTTTGATGGATTTATAAGCTGAGATCCATTTTGTTATTTCTGTTTTTTTTGTAATAT